TTTTTGTTATAATTTGTTAAAAAAACCTAAGGCAAAGTCTCCCTTGTTGATATGATTATCATGTGCTAAGAAATAGTTTTTCGCATTTTCTGACAAACGTGTAATTTTGAGTTGCGTTCCTTTTGAAGACGGTGCGCGAATATTTTCGTGTCGAAACGAGATAGAGATATATTTTGTACTCTATTTGTGTATCTTGGTTGTTCATTCGGCAACATACGATTCTTGTATAAATACAGGCACTTTTTAGTTCAGGCATTAATTGTGTTACCGATTTCGGTGAAGTGCAGTGTTTGTGTTCTCTACTAGTGAATAAATATACATATACATATAAAAAAAATGACTGGTCGCGGCAAAGGTGGTAAAGGTTTGGGAAAAGGTGGTGCCAAGCGTCATCGTAAAGTTTTGCGTGATAACATCCAGGGTATTACCAAGCCAGCTATTAGACGTTTGGCTCGTCGTGGCGGTGTGAAACGTATATCTGGTTTGATATATGAAGAAACACGTGGAGTTTTGAAGGTATTTTTGGAAAATGTTATCCGTGATGCAGTCACTTATACCGAACATGCCAAAAGAAAGACAGTTACAGCAATGGATGTTGTATATGCTCTGAAGAGACAAGGCCGCACTCTGTATGGTTTCGGCGGTTAAATAAATTTTGCGGACAATAGAAACATAATAAAACAAAAAACGGTCCTTTTCAGGACCACAGAATTTTTAACAAAGATTAAAATATTTTTGACCAATTAAATACAAATCATACTATTTTGTAATTTTACAAATAATGAATAAATAAATGTGCATACTTATTCCATACAGCGTGTTTGCTATGTATGCGTACACACGGTATGCGTTCGTGTTGTTACGAATTATACCTGCCAGCAACGGCTCACCACTTTCCTCTGAAATTCAAACGATTTACAAACACATTCACAACTTCTTAGTCATCTAACCCATGATACCAAAAGGAAGTTTAATGGAGGTAGTTTAAGTAAACAACTCCAAAGTATCCCTATGTGTGCTCGGTACATTTTTTTGCCACACCACTTGATTTGCAAAAGTGCAGTGCCATTAAGGTAAAATATCTTTAAATTTATGCCAAAATCTTCGCTTTAATATCTGTATGTACATGCAAATTCATCCATACGTACATATATGTATGTATGTACATACACATGCATAAATGTGGATATTATAAATAGATAGTAGTTGTTGTTGCTTTCACATGCTTTAGCCATTTATTCAATATTAATTCACATATCCTCGCCTCGGTAAAATATTGTCGTAAGCGTCATACGTACATGCGTAACATACGACAATCTTTTACCCAGGCGACGATATGTATAAGACTTTAGGCAAGCAAAATTTGCCAACGACCATACCACGCTGAATACATCGGTTCTCGTCCGATCACCGAAATTAAGCAGCGTCGGGCGCGGTTAGTACTTAGATGGGGGACCGCTTGGGAACACCGCGTGTTGTTGGCCTTCAAATAATTTTTTAAAAAAATATTTTTTTTGTAACATTTTATTTTATACTTTTTTCTTTTTATTTTATTTTATTTTATTTTTTAATATTTTCAATTTCTGATTGAGAACATATCGCTCATTTACAAATGCTGAGTTAAGTACGCAGAAATTACCGCCACCTCTTTTCGTTTTTTTGTTTTTTTAAGAAAATTTGATGCCTAATTTTACAGAACATTTAAAGTATAAGCCACTATTTTTTTTAATTTTCAATAGCTAATATAGCTTTTACAGAACAATTTTTATGAAATCATTTTGTCGTATGTTACATTTTCCCATTAAACGATAGCGAGCTGTATCACATACGCCAATCATACACGCAGCAAGTAAGCAAAAGGTAGAAATTGTTGAAAAAAAAATTTTAGTACACGTCAGAAATAAGTGAATGAATAAAAATCAACAAATAATTCAACAATTTATGCCATAGCACATACGACTATCTGTTGTGTAGGATTGGTGTGATTTTATCGTATGTTTCATACAATTTGTCATACAAGACAATCTTTTGAGAGGTAATAAAATTCATTAAACTGAATAAAAATTTGTCGTATGTAGATTAAATTTCTCGTCACATGCAACAAAATGTTGACCGGGCAAACTTGAAAATACGACCAATTTTTACTGAATATCTTAGAGAATAATTGAGATATAGGAAAAATTATAACACCAATCGAAAAATATTAGTTTATAATATAAAACTGCGTTTTGAATGAACAATCCGTTAAAATGGCGCTTACGACAAACTTTTACCCAGGTAACGATGTGTATTTATCGAATGAGGAGAGCATTCTTAATTAAAAACTTGGTAACAAATCTTTTTATATTAATTTATAATCGCTTAAACTCATTTCAGTAAGTATCATATAAAATGATAATGCTCGATCTTAACTAATATGTTGACTTTATTCATGCAATGAATTGAAGCCACATAGAATTGTACCAGTGATATCATTGAGATATTTGAAAAATTATTTCAGACATAATATTTTATTAAATATTTCATATAAAACATTTAATCGATAGATAATTTGATATATTTTAAGTTTCTAATAAAATTAGTCGCCTCATTTTTAAGACTTTACAAAAAACTTACTTTAATTGGCGAAATTCTGATTTTTCGATTACAAAGTTTGGATTAAAATACCCGCTACAACAAAGATATTCATCTTATTTCAATTTACGTTATATTTTATTGAAACAACATATTTAAGCTATCGTTATGTATCAAATTTTAATTCATAAATTCCTTACATGATTTTTAATTAATTTAATTCATCTCAAAATTTCTCATACACAAATGCCAAATAGTACTGAATCCTACAAATTTTTAACTCATCTCTTCGCCTCGCTTCTCACAATTTTTATGGACTAACACTTTTAAAATAGCTATGTGTTTGAAAAAACAAATTTCATATCAGTGCGTTATAGTGCCCAAATAAATACATAAATAAAGTGCGTGTTATTAAATAAAGAAAAACAAGAATTTTTAAAAATGTCTGATTCAGCTGCTGTTGCTAATGTTAGTTCTCCGGTGGCCGCTTCTGCGACTGTCGCTGAAAAGAAAGTTGCTGCTAAAAAGGCAGCTAAACCCAAAAAACCATCGGCTGCTCCTACCCATCCACCAACTCAACAAATGGTCGACGCATCGATTAAGAGTTTAAAGGAACGTGGCGGCTCATCACTTTTGGCAATTAAGAAATACATTAGTGCCACATATAAGTGCGATGCTCAAAAATTGGCACCATTCATCAAGCGTTATTTGAAATCTGCCGTTTCCAGTGGAAAATTGATTCAAACCAAAGGAAAAGGTGCGTCTGGTTCATTCAAATTATCAGCTTCGGCCTCAAAATCCAGTGAGGGAAAAGTAAAGCCAAAAGCAGAGAAGGCCAAGGCCAAAAAGAAGACGGCTACTGGTGCGGCATCAAAGAAAAAGGCGGTAAGTGGTGCCAAAAAGGCGGCTGGTGAGAAAAAGGTGAAAAAAGCCGTCGCTAGCAAGAAAACAGCTGAAAAGAAGAAAAGTGAAAAAGCCAAGGCGAAAGATGCAAAAAAGACTGGTGCAGTGAAAGCAAAGCCAGCCAAAGCTAAATCAGCTGCCGCCAAACCAAAGGCAGCAAAAGCAAAATCGGCCGCTGCCAAGCCAAAGAAAGCTGCCGCTAGTAAAAAACCAGCTGCAAAAAAAGCAACAGCTGCTAAGAAGTAAATTTGTTTACGGAATCCATATTCTCGAAACAAACTTAAAAAGCCCTTTTCAGGGCTACAAAATCTATTGGCAAAAAGATCAAAAAATACTTTGTTTACACAATCAGATATGTATCTGAAAATTTAAGATTTTTGAATATTCCAACGCACTAAAACTAGTCGCTTCTTTAAAAAACAAAAAATAAATTAATTCCATTTTACATTTCATCATTTGTACACGTTTCTTTTAACATTTCGGATGCTTTCTGGTCGTTATGGATCTACTTTGTGTACTGTACATTTAGAAATTCATAGCACTTTTTCCTTACGTAAATTGAATTTAATTTTTTCCTTACTTAAATTGAATTTCATATATTTATACATACATACATTTGATTTGCCCTTATATACAGAAATTTTATATCTCTTTAATTAATATGTTGTGGCCCTGAGAAGGGCCGATTTCTTTGTTTCTCTGCATCTTGGTTAGACAAATTATTTAGAGCTTGTATATTTGGTGACAGCCTTGGTACCTTCACTGACGGCGTGCTTGGCCAATTCACCAGGTAAAAGTAGACGTACGGCAGTCTGAATTTCGCGACTGGTAATGGTTGAACGTTTGTTGTAGTGGGCTAAACGTGATGCCTCAGCAGCAATACGCTCAAAGATATCATTCACAAAACTGTTCATGATGCTCATGGCCTTCGACGAAATGCCAGTATCAGGATGTACTTGCTTCAAAACTTTGTAGATGTAGATGGCATAGCTTTCCTTCCTCTTGCGCTTCTTCTTCTTGTCATTTTTGGTGATATTCTTCTGAGCCTTGCCGGCTTTCTTCGCTGCTTTTCCACTAGTTTTAGGCGGCATTTTTCAAATCACTTCACTTCACTTTTGAGTCACTATAACAACGTTTGAAATGTGTACACTTAAGTACATTTTTTCCGACAATACATTCAGGCAAACGCAACGAATCGACGCAAAAGGCAAACACGAATTCGAATACATAGAAAAGGGGATGAATGACAACCAACTGAAAAAGTATATAAGCAGCGCATATTGATAGTCCTAACATATACTGCTTGTGAGCATACTGTGAAGTGTTTTATTAGTGAAGTGAAAAATAAAAGAAAAATAACCAAAAATGTCTGGTCGTGGTAAAGGTGGCAAAGTTAAGGGAAAGGCAAAGTCTCGTTCTAACCGTGCTGGTCTTCAATTTCCCGTCGGTCGTATTCATCGCTTGTTGCGCAAAGGCAACTATGCTGAACGTGTTGGTGCCGGCGCTCCAGTTTATTTAGCTGCTGTTATGGAATATTTGGCGGCTGAAGTACTTGAATTGGCTGGTAATGCTGCTCGTGATAACAAAAAGACCAGAATCATTCCACGTCATTTACAATTGGCCATCCGCAATGATGAGGAATTGAATAAACTGCTGTCTGGTGTGACCATTGCTCAAGGTGGTGTTTTGCCTAACATTCAAGCTGTACTTTTGCCCAAGAAAACCGAAAAGAAAGCTTAAAGTGTACATTGCAGTCAATTTAAACATTTCATCCACGCAACAAAACCGTCCTTTTCAGGACGACAAAATTCATTTACAAAGAGATTAAATATATTTTCTTAAAAATAGTTGATTAATTTTCATTTATTATATGTGCCAATCAAAGAAATTTTATATGTATATTGTGTGCATATAAAATCAACAACCACTTCGAGAGTCCAAGCGCTTGGATTCGCGCCAAAATTGTCCCTTATTTAGAAACTGTTTTTACACACGTGTACGTACAATAACTGAATAAGCCACAGTGGATACAGAATAATTGCACATACATACATATTTAGGTATACTTTTACGTATATATGTACATACATACATATGTATGTACATGCGCATGCATACAACTAACTAACAGCGTCACTGAAATGCAAAAGGTACAGTACACAAATTTATACCTCGCAAACGAGTGAAAATCGGTAGGTAAAATACTAATGTTGTAAATATGTATGTATATTCGAAATAAAACGATTTTTGATAATTAAAACTTTGATGATCTTTTGTTTAAAAAATTGTGGTCCTGAAAAGGACCGTTTTTTTATAAATTGAGATTTTTCGTTCGTAATTTATTTAAGCACGCTCTCCACGAATACGTCTAGCCAGTTGAATGTCTTTGGGCATAATTGTGACGCGCTTGGCATGAATGGCGCACAAATTGGTATCTTCAAATAAGCCAACTAAATATGCTTCGCTTGCTTCTTGTAAAGCCATAACAGCGGAACTCTGGAAACGTAAATCGGTCTTGAAATCCTGGGCAATTTCGCGTACCAAACGCTGGAATGGCAATTTGCGGATCAACAATTCAGTACTTTTTTGATAACGACGAATTTCACGCAAAGCCACTGTACCGGGACGATAACGATGTGGTTTCTTTACACCACCAGTCGCTGGTGCACTCTTACGGGCAGCTTTTGTTGCCAATTGTTTGCGTGGTGCCTTACCACCAGTCGATTTACGGGCTGTTTGCTTTGTACGAGCCATTTTCTACTATTCACTTTATTCAAGAAAGAACACTAACACTGATTCACTGTACACTGTACTAATATTAAATAATACCTTAGCGTCAGTGTAGAAATAATAATATACACAAAAA